AAAACATTATGAATATTGTTCATAGGTTGGTTCAATTGACAATGATTTCAGCGGTACTGACTTGACAATCGGTAGCAATACCGCGCTCCATCGTATATCAGAAGCAATTGATGCTATCGCAAGTACGGCCTATTCACACAAACGAGTATTTATAATGGAAGTAATGGGACGACACTGCGGGTAGCAATTAACTGCTTAACGGTAATTGAAAAAACTAATTTTGTATTCTTTGCAGATATTTGGCGTTGATTACAGCCTTGTCAAGTGAAGCAGATTACATGTTTATACCTGAAACACCATCCACATTAGATTGGCCACAGACTTTATGCAATCAATTAAAAAATGTTGGTTTACAGATTTTTTTACACTTAAAAAAAATATACCATATATAAATACATATATTAAATAGCAACGTTAAACTATTATTGTTTTTAATTAAACCGTTTCTTACAAAGGAGAGAAGTACTGGCAAAAGAATGGGCTTAATTATTGTTTCAGAAGGAGCGATTGACGTAAATGGAAACCCTATATCCACTGAGGATATCAAAAAAGTAATCATTGATAGCCTTAACATAGAGCCTCGAATTACGGTACTTGGCCATATACAACGGGGTGGCAATACTAGTTCTGGCGATCGAATACTAGTGAGTGTTGAAAAATATTAATTGCTAATTGTACATGAATTAATATTTATCTCTGGAACCTAATATTTAAGTTGAACAAATAAAAAGATTTCAAACGGAGTAATATTAGTGAATATTAGTATTTGTAGTAGATAAATTCTTCAGGTATTTTTTAATGTTTGTCGAATACTAGTAATTATTTGTTGTTACGCGTTGGCATAAATTTGTTTTCATAAAAATCAATTGTTTTAGGGCTGCCGGATGGGTATTGAAGCAATTATTGCGTTAATGGAGTCTACCCCTGAAAGTGAGCCCGTAGTTATAACATTAACTGAGAATCAAATCAGAAGGAAACCATTAATGAAATGTGTTGAGCAAACCACAGCTGTTACAAATGCAATGAAAGCAAAGGAGTGGAACAAAGCTGTCGAATTGCGAGGAGAATCGTTTAAGCAAAATTTGGAAGCATTTTTAACGCTTGCTTCTCTGAAGCCAACACCAATAATGTTAAAAGCAGTAATAATCAAAAATGTTTCTAAATACCACAAAATATATACTTACTTTTTTAAAAATAGAATCCTTATCGTTTTGCAGTTATAAATATTGGAGACCCAGCCAGTGGCATGAACACTGCAGTTTATGTCTTCGTACGAATTTGTATTGATCATGGTGATATTCCCTTAGGTGTCCATGACGGAATTGATGGTCTCATTAGTGGAAACATCAAAGAGCTACATTGGTACATAAATATAATAGTACATGAAAATATATGTTACATAGGTACACCTTCATTTTTTGCATTGTACCATACTGTACGATGTAAAAGCATGAAATCTTATCATTTTTTATTTAACAGGAGAGAAATAAAAATCTATTGATGCACTAACGTATCATATAGGTATAATATATTTAATATTTTTAAATACGAAAAGTTTTTATTAGGTCCGATGTAAGTGGATTAGCAAGCCAAGGTGGTGCTTTTCTAGGAATAAAACCTACTTTACCTACTGGAAAATTTGAAGAAATTGTGAAACAAATTAAAGAATTCAGAATAAATGGTTTTGTATTTATGGGGGGTTTTCGTGCCTTTGAAGCTGGAGTACAGTTTATTGAACAGCGAAATATTTATCCAGAATTGTGTATACCGTTGGTCGTTATACCAGTATCAATATCGAATAATGTGCCCGGAACAGAATATTCGCTTGGTTGTGACACAAGTCTAAACGAAATTACTGTAATATGCGATCAGCTTCGTCAGTCAGCACAAGGAACTAGAGACCGTGTATTCGTTATCGAAATAAGGGGTGGATATTGTGGTTATCTTTCAACAATGGCTGGTCTTGCTTCTGGCTCTGATGTGACTTATATCAGCGAAGAAAACTTCACTGTTTCTGATATTCAAGAGGATGTTCAGCGTATGATTTTAAAAATGAATTCTGGAGTGAAAAAAGGCCTTGTCATATGCAACGAAAACTGTTCAACTAATTTGAATAGTGACTTTATACATCGATTATATTCAGAGGAAGGAAAAAATAACTTTTCTTGTCGTTTGAACGTACTAGGTATGAATCTAACAATTAATTTTGTATTAAATTTGAAAATACAGTTTAATAAAAATTTGAGGTCATAATCAAGAAGGAGGATCACCGTCTCCATTTGATCGTTACTATGCTGCTGTTATAGCATCTAAATGTTACCAATGGCTTGTAGATCAATTGGAAGGAAACGCTGACTGCTCTAATGAAAATCAATGTGATACTTGTAGATCAGCAAGCTTAATAGGAATGATTTCAGAGCGATATAAATTTACGCCATTAGTTGACTTATTTGAGCAGGCTGACTTTGAGTAAATAAACAATATTGTACAAAAAGATACTACTAAGAATAGAATTACTAAAATTTCTTTTCTTTGCAGAAAACGGATGCCGAAAAGCCAATGGTGGCTAAATTTACGTCCAGTTTTAAAAATATTGTCACACTATACGACACTTGAAGACTTATCTCAATTATCAGAGGACAGTTGCCATTGTGAGGATTAAATGTTACTTAAATAATATCATATTGAAAAAACTCTAGATGTCATCGAGCATGCAAGTTTTGCATAAGCTGTATACAAATTTAATAAAAAACTGTATAAGTGCATTAGAAACCCATTGCTTTTTTAAATTTCTGACCCTAGTAGTTTACTCGACTCCTTTTGTAGAAGTAACTACAAGTAATTTCCTATATAGACAAATACTTTAGATATTCAAAAAATTCTTTTAAAAATTTCAGTAAATCGAACCTCTAACATCAAATTCAGATATTTCATCAATAAATTTATCCAAATTTTGGCCAGACCTTTGCTGAAAATGAATGATAAAGCAATGGCATTATCTAGATTGCAAATGAATATTTACAAAATATTTCAAACAACTGTAAATAATGCCATAAAATATATAATTTCAATCCACAAAATACAACGTAACGAACTGGTTCTCCCTATAAAATGTTCTCATACATCCTAAACCAAGATAAAATAAAAAGAACATCCTCTTAGACGATTTTCTTCGTTTGTAGATTCAAATCCTTTCTAGCATATATTTTATATTCTGTTTTGCTGTAAAATAATAAATAATGTATACATAGTATATACATATATTCCAATATACATACATAATCATATATATTACTATTAATATGTAATTAAAGTTGATCTGAACGCCAATATGACAGTAGTACTATTTTCTCAAATGAAACCTTTAAAAAGAATAGTAATGAAATTCAACAATTGAAAATAAAAATATATTTAATTAATTCAATTATTCTACAGCTGATTTATGTTTTCGTTCGAATACAACAAAGCAAGTGAATTTGTTAATGAACTTTTACATCAAATCAACAAAAAACTCCAAGTACAGCTTTGAGTCAGTTGGCTAATGAGTTTAACCCTTGCTACGTGTAGTCTTAAAAATTTATTTACGAATATTTATATAAGAAGTAATTCCAAGACCACTGATGATGAGATTTTGGCAATACTCGAAATAGCTGTATGGTCAGCCAAAAATTCAATTAATTAAAATAATACAAAAAGAATTTTTGTTGTAGTTCCCAACTTTTTGAAATCTCTCTATAAATATGTAATCAATAACATATCTATGTAGCATCATAAAAAATAAAAACGAACGTAAGAGAAACAATTTTACTAGAATGAATAGACACACAGATGCTTTTACATATTTCATTTAAATATATGAAACTACAGCCGCATATCCACATCTAGAAAACTTAGCATTTTCAATACTACCAAAATAGCAAATTTATTTCATAGAAGTGAAAAATAGATGACTAGCTCTGCAATACAATTAAAAATTAACACTGGTATAGACCAAAGTTGACGAAGAATCTTGCTCATCTGTCGGCCTTACAAATTATACCACATTGAACTATTGGTTCAAAACCAGAAATGGAGTTGAATAAGACATACTCTCAGAAGACCAAAAATCAAAAAAAGAAAAAGTGTTCAAGAGGTACTAAAGTGGAACTCCCAAAGTTCAAGGATATTACTTAGACTATAAATGTGGGGCACGAATTAAGAAATTCAAATTATTGATGGAACGACATTGTTGCCTAATCCCATAACGGATTTCGATTTAAGCTGATAATATAGGCTCTATAATCCACCTAGGAAAATAGAACTACATACATATTTTCGGTCCTATTCTTCGAACTTGACCAATTTGTCAAGTATTGACAATTACTTATCGTCAAAGTTGACAATTTGTCAAGGTTTTGGTATTCTGTGCTATAAATAAAAGCTCTTTTCTTGATAAATTGTCAAGATGACAAATAATCTTTATAAATAAAATATATATCTTTTATCTAGTCTAGCATTTTTATAAAACTTACAATCTAAAACTTCAACTGTGATACTTCTCATACTGTCATTTAAATATCATAATTATTGTGGTTTAATTGCAAGAGTAAATAATTAAACTTTTGTCATCCATTCTAATCCTGTTTAGAATATAACAGATATGTACGTATTTATAGCAAAGTTAAAGAACAAAATTAGTAAATTTTACTAATTTGTGTTAATATACTCAAAAACTAGTAAGCAATGAAAGCTAGTGGAAAGTGAAATCATAAGTTTTGTTAAAAATCATATTTTTATACATAATTAACGAACACAGTACTTTTTGGTGAATAATTTAAAAGCTCTATATTTTTTTGCAAAATATAAACAAACCAGAACTCCAAACAATAAAACACAAATAATCTTATCATATGCCAAATGGTGTAATAAGATAGTGAAAATGAAATAAAGGAGCTCTTACTCATGATTTTATCAGTAAGACATATTAGTTACAAAAAGTATTTCGCAAAGTAAAGTTATCAAAAATTAAGAGTCACTAGTCAAATTTATTTATATTAATATATATGATAGATAAATAATGCTAAATGGAGGCTCAACACCACGCACCTCCCAACCATATACTCGGTTACGTGATCCGGAGTCGTACGCGCATATATATTTCTTACCTAATACCTGCTGTACTCGAATTAATTGTTTATATTACACAAATCGTCGCCGATTGCTCGGTCAGTTATGAACATTTTGAATCAAATCAACCTGCATTTGGTTGGGGTACTTTAGTACTTGTTTTAATGCCACCTCTTCTAACGTTTTGCTCTGTTGTGAGCTCCACAGAGCATCGAAATAACCCAAAGTATAAAAATGGTCTAAGTTTTGTGATTCACCAGTTAATACAACTGATGTTATTTCCACTATTAATAATCTACAGGTACGCAATGTACAAGTATTAGTGAAAAGTTTTAAAAATATTTTCATGTCATTTAATGAGTTACAACTTTATAAGTTTTTATAAGGTTTATGATTCGAATATTTTGGTCCGTTGAAGCGCTTTTCCATGATGACAACGACAATGAGCGTATGATGTGCATAAAAAAAACTGAGGAGTGCTCCACCTGTGAATTACAGTTGATGATACAAGCGTATGCTCAATCAGCACCTCAAATAATTCTCCAGCTCTATCATATTTTGACGCAGGATTTATTTCGAAACTATCAAACTAGTAAGTTCAATTGAAATTATTATCAATAAATTAATTATGAATTTAATAATAAAACTGATTTACTGAAAACTTATTTAATAATGAACTGATTTACTGAAACAATAATATTTATATATAATATAATATATAGTAGTAATAATAATGCATATTGATATATCAATTTTAATTTTATTTTTAGCAAATGCTCAAGCCATTTGTCTAGTTTTTTCTGTTATTAATTTAGCAGATATAACCATGTCGTACCAAAGATTCGAAAGTCAACGACAAGTTGGACGTATCTATCCTTGGGCTGCCCCTAAGCAGGTCGAAGCTCAACAAAAAATTCTAGCCAACAATGACCGCTTACTATTAGAGTGTGAAAAAAAGAAAAGAGAATCTGAACGTACTATAGCGAGTTTTCCGGAATCTGATAAAATAATGGCTAATTTTAAAATGCGAACAGAACAAACAAGTACTAGCAATGTATCTGATGAAAAAACACACGATATTTTGGTTCAAGGAGTAGATGAAGTAGACAATGACGCCATTGAAACAACGAAAGAGACGGTACTAATACATACAAATTCATTATGTCCATCTACAAATAATGCCACAGATGATGACAAGATCATGATAAGTCCAAAATTACGTCTACATCGTATACATGAAGAAATACATGATTTAGATGCTATTGAAATATTAGACACTGTGCCAGATATTCCAGCACCATTGCCTCCGAAAATAAATCCTAATTCTAATCCAACACTATTACGCACACAAGTATCAACAAATTCCGAAGCAACATCAACTTCAACATCGAGAAATAAACGTAACTCAAAAACATTATCACAACTAGAAACATTTAAGGATATGCTAATTATAAACACACAACTGTATATAAAGGACCATGTACCACGACCGCCAAAAATTCTTATTAATCGCATTGATAATGATCATCAAAATAATGAGGAAAAAACTCAACTTTTAACACCAACGAAATCTTCTCTTCCAGGGTCACCTCTAACCCCGAAAGACGTAGTAGACTTTTTTCTTCCTCGCCCAACAAAGATTGTTAACGGCATAGTACAAGAAGATTTTGCGAGTAAAACTATTGCTTTCTTCGGTTGGATCTCATTTATTATTATGCGAATGCTATGCTTATCAACATTTCTTGTATTTTATCCAACGCCTTTTTTTATAATAATAAGTGTTCACTATGTAATCATGTTAGCAGCATTGTACTTAGAAACCAGAAAGCAAAGTAATACAAACCGCCGGCTCTTCTATTTGCTTTTAGCTTATATATACATTTTCGTATTATTAGAAGTTCGAATTAGATTCACGAAAATACGGCTATGGTTCGTCGGTTACTTTGTGTTAACAATGATCGAAAACATTGTTATGACTGTAATTTGGTACACAAAAGAGGACTTGGAATCATGGTGGTTTGGATTTATTTTTAATAGCATCGTTGTCAGTGGAATTTTATTCATGGTCACTTTAATAGTTTATTACTGCGTCTTGAAGCCAAAAGATGTTACATTAATTGTAGAAGATAATACACCTGAAATTATTTCATCGAACTAATCATTGAAGTAAACAATATTAACAATATTAATATTATAATTTTTTGTTGACCGTTAAATTTAATTATCATGTTTAAATTATATATTAAATGCTTATATACTTAAATACTTAAATATTTATTATATTTACATATATTATAGGTATATTTTTTACATACTAAAATCTATTACTAAAGTCATGACTTCAAAAATGTTCTCAATAAATAATTATTAAATAATAATTAAATAACAATATATTTCCAATATTTCAATAAAATATAAACTCTTTTTATATATAAATAATAAATAATAGTTTTTTAATTTCTATTTAAATTGACCAATTAGCCCGTTAAAATTATATATATTGAAAATTATATTGATATTATATTGATATATTGAATATAATGTAATTTTTTCAATCGATATGCTTTTTTAATGCACTTTTAGTGCAATTTTCATTTTTGATTAATAAATTTGGAGCAAAATTTATAACACTCGAGTTTAATTTATTACACTAGATATGTTGCCAGAGTAGCAAGATAAACCCAGTAGGAAACGGATCGATCCGTCATCGAAAACGTGTTCGACATGGATACATACACGAAGAGCAATCGATTCAAATGTATGATGATCTTCGAAGATATTTTCGAATAAATTAGCCAAATGTCTTCAAAGAGATTTTGCATACATATCTCGAAGACTGTCTTGAAGACCATGTCTTGCATAACGGACGCATTCGATTGAAAGTTTTGTGCTTTTAGCGTAGCTACTCACTTAGGTTTTTTACACATTTTCTTGTTGTTTTTCTTTTTTGTGCTCTTTAAATTGTAAGTTTTGTTTCTCTTTAAATAACTGGAGCGAAATTTGTATGTAATTATTTTTTCTTATTAATTTGCTATATATATTTTATACATTATTAAATATAATGTATAAAATATAAGTAATATAAAATATAAAATAAATAGACGGATATATAATTAAATAAAATTAAAAAATGTGAATTTAATAGAAAATTTTACCTTACAAAATGCTTATTCACATCACTCAAAATTGGCACTGATAATAATAAAGACAGCGACATAGGTTGCTGTGAACACTACAAATGAGAGAGTAAGCAAAAGAGAGGCTATTTATGTTTATGTTATGAGCAATTGTTTTGCAAATTTGCTTAAATATGGGGACGCAGTTTCAAAGACTGTCACGAAGACAATGTCATCAGAAACCATTTTCTCTACTGGGATGATTTGATTCGAAATATGTATTTGCGAAAAATATATAAATAGTAAATTATGTCGGTATGGCAGCGTATGTTGGTATTTACCAAAATTTCGAGTAGAATAAATTACATACAAATAAGGCAAATTAGTTTTCACCATTGTGAAAATTTTATAAGATGTTTAATGAATAAATTTGAAAACTTTTAAACAAAAATAATAAATAAGTGCAATAAATAAATTTTTACATAAATGCAGAGCAAAAAATTTCTAGAAAATTTCAATTTACTGTACCTCAATTTACTCGAACTCGCACACAGTCTTATACGGTGTTTACATTATGTGATTAAAAGTAGATTAAAGCAAAAATCAAGATTATAGCACTAACCTCGTTGTTAATTTCAGATTTCCTATACAAAAGTTAATCTTCTTTTCGTCGCGATTAGTTTTAAATCTCCTTCAAAATGATAAGTATTTCTCTATGCAACTCTGCAAATGGCTAAATATCGTAGATTTTTTTACGATCTTAGAAGATATGTCTTAATGTCGTAGATTTTTTGCGATCTTGAAGATATATGTCAAAATTTATTTAAAATAAGCATTTGAAAAATCCGAATGTAGTGAAATTTCTATTAAATTTGTTTAATAATAGTTTTATACATAATACTATATAAATTTGTTAAATTATTGTTATGAAACTATATATTAAACATATATTACAATTTTTTTATACAAAATTGTGATTAAATGCTTTATTTAAAGAAATTTATCAAACACAAGGACCAAAACACAAGAGGAACGTCAAAATTAATCTCCAATACATAATGTAAACGGTGGAGATTAAAAATGCAGATTAACTTAATCTCGCAAAGTAAACGTAGTATTAATTCATATAAATACTCTGCTACTAAAAGTTTTTTATGTTTTTTACGATATCTAATCAGAATTTAATAGAACAGAAAATGCAACACTGATAAAAATGCTTAGTATTTACAATAAACATAGCCGCTGACGTGTCTGTCACTTAAACTTACCGTGTGTAAAAATTTGTCCAAACAGGCGTAGCAGAATTTTTATTCGATTTTGTTTTAACAAACGCTTATTCTGCGGCAGAAACTATCTTAACATGAAAAAATTAGGTATTGGATTTACTAAATGGTATATGCACTTGTGTTGTATATATGAATTTTTGAAAACAATTATCCCCGGCATTTATGCCAGAGGTTAAATACGCCGGTTTCGTATGAGCATTCTTTGTGAAACATAGTGTGAATATAGATTTATTACCTTTGCATTTAGTGTTCTTGTTCCAAATATGTTTTCTTAATGTTTTGTTTTCCTACAGTTTTTGCGATTTTTTACATATTAACGGGATTGTCAGCAATTCTAGCTACGAGAACTGTTAGTACCTATCTAGATAATAATGATTTAAATCGCCTGCAAAAAGTGTTCGCTGATGGCTTACAAACTAATGATTTGCAATCGATATATTACTCGACTCTAAATATTGAAGTTACAAATCCTAAAGAAAAGGAGTTACTATGTAAAAAAATAGTAGAAGCACATACAGATTCAAAGCTAAATGTAAGTACATGGTATAAAAAATTCCTTATAAATAAAAAAAAATTTGTTTTAATTTAAGAACTTCGAAAAAGACTTTTATTTAATTGCTGCCAACAAGAACCTACATTGTGCAGAAAAAATACCAGAATCTATTTTGTCAAAAGTCTACGCTGCATTTAAAAATGATCTGGGAACAACTCAGGAAGTTTATTTTAGATTCATCTCTCACAAATTATTAGGAGTTCAAGTGGATGAAGACGCTATTAAAAAAATAGCTCTAAAACTGCAAGAGGTGTTGAAAAAAGAGGACACATTAATAAATTTGGGTTATTCTTTTAATTTAGCAGCTGAGATGGGTGAAGCGGCTTCTTTTGTTGCAAAACGTGTCGAAGATGCTATTGCACAAGCAGATGAGGTTGATGGTAAAATGTTGCAGTTTGAGGGTGGTTTAAGTATAACTGCATTAGTTATTAATGGTGCGATTTCAGTAGATAAAGTTAACAACAAACCAATACCCATGAGTGCGTTGCAAGCAGAAAAGTTTGCAAATTATTTCCTTAGCCGACGATCGGTACAAACTCCTAAAGGCGCGCATGTATTAATTGAAGCTTTAAAATCATTGAACAGTGTGAAAGACATTACACCACTATGCATAAAAATATTTGGAAATAAACAATTGCCATCCAATTCTCCTGAATTGAGTATTGCTGTGGTAGACTTATTGGGTAAACCAGTTTCACCTGTACCTAAAAATATATATGGAAAAGTTATGTTAAAAAAAGATAGGAGTTTGCTTGCCGAAAAAGTTGAGTTTGTAGCGAAGTCCTCAGATAAAACTATATTTTCTGCAAACCTTTTACGTTATAAACCAGTTCGTGGTATTTATACTATTGACATAACTGCTGAAAACACATATACACAGCAGTACACATTCAAGATTTTAGGTCGAGCTAAGGTTGAATCTCTAGAAATAAGTGTTGCAGAAACTTCAGCTGTTTCTACTATTAAAAAATATAATGCCAATTATCCAAATACATTATCAGAAAAATTATCTGCTGATGCAACTCAGAAGTTTTCACTAAAGGCAATAATTATCGATGACGACACAAATAAGGTAAATTTTAAAATAAATATACTCTATTTATTATATCTAATATGTAAAATACAAAATAGCCACTGACTGTTCATCAATCTTTTGTACGTTTATTAAATAAAATTACTGGAGAAGAGGTTATTTTTATAGCTGATCAAGATAGCAGCAGGGCTTACAAAGTTGATATTGATATTGGAACACGGGCTGGAGACTTTAATTTTAAATCTGGAGAGTATGAAATTTCTTTGATTATTGGAGATGCTTTTCTTTCCAATTCATTACAATGGCACATAGCTAATATTGACTTGCAGTTCCAACAAGATCATAAAGGTAGTTTTTAATTATTAATTTAAAAAAAACGATATTCATTACTATTTATGTTTAGATGCAAAGAAACAAGCAATTCGTACTGCCCTTCCTGAAATTATTCACCAGTTTCGAGTACCAGAAAAACGGCCACCAAGATTTGTATCTGATATATTTACAGGCTTATGTTTAACACCTCTGGTCTTATTATTTATTTTGTGGGGCAAATTGGGTATAAATATATCTAACTTTAACTTAGCGCCTAGCACAATTGGATTCCATTTGGGTTTCGGTAGCATTTTAACACTTTTTGCTGTTTTCTGGTGGAAACTTAATATGTTCCAAACTTTGCGGTTGCTTATACCTATTGCTATTGTAACATTCCTGAGTGGTAATCGCTTGTTAAGACGCATTTACTCACAACGCGTATCAAAACAATCTTCTGGAGCAGCGTTATCATAGATCAAATATAGTTCTTTTTAAGTTAAGCAGTGTATTTAAATTTTTTTGGTTAGTCTGAAATGCAAATAAATTTAACACGAACTGAACACTTTCACAAAATGATTTTTTTATTTTTTAGTCAGTATAAAATATTTAAAATGTATTTAAAGTTATTTTATAATATCTATTTTGCTGCATTAGTTTAGTTTTAAGCAAACAGCTATGAAATTTTGTATAATTCCTCTATTTAATAAAAACAAAATGTAATACAAATTTCTTATATTTGTGTTTCGCAGTCTAACATATTAACTTACCAAGTTATTAACTTTATATAATGAATAATTAAAGTCCCTAAATATTTGTGAAAAATTCGAGAATATTCTCTTTATTTGAATAAATTACTATAATGTAAGAGTAGTAACAAATAATTAGTATGGTGTATTTTTTAAAAAAGTTGAAAGAAACTAATTGAAAATATGTTAATTATATGTACATTAAGGCCCCATATTTGGCAAAAAAATATTATTTCAAATAATATGATAAATTTTACACAACTTCGGACAAAAATCCTTCAGATTCTTCAGTAACAATGGCATCAATATTATAAAATACTGCATGTAAGGATACAGCACAGATGGAAGCACCTAAAATAAAAGTAAGTTATTTTAAATTGAACTGCATATTATTGATATTATTTGATATTTTACCTAAAGCCCAAAATAATGCTGCACCAGCTCCAACCAAAAATAGTATTGGAACTGAAGCGGCGTTGACTGCCATAATTTGATGGCTTGTACTAAGTTGGTACCCAAATATTGTCACAGGTGATTGAGCCTTTTTAATTCTGTGACTTGCATACGCAACAGCACCCAACACAATTAGAATTAACGGAGACGTAATACTGTAGAACAAAACAAAATTGTAGATTTAGATAGTTTATTTAAAGGTTGCACTGCACACTGCACTTACAGGCAATAAATCATTAGCACAATAAAGACGAAAATATAATTGCTTTGAAAGTACTTGAGATTTCTGATATATCTGTTTGTTAGTCGTGGCATACTAACAGCTGGCTTAAAGTTCCCAGTATTTAGAAACTCTGACCAAGGCCGAATGTACTTTCTAGCTAATTGAATAAGTTCCATGGGACTTGGTATTCTTTGCAATTGTGTGAAGCTGTAACAGAAACAATCCTTAAAATAATTTATAACAAAGTAATTTAATTCAAATTCACCTTCTAAAATCGAACTGTGATTTTTGCTGTTGTTTCGGAACATTCATGTCTCCGGAGACCTCTACTTTAACATCAGCCATTGCTATAAATATTCTATCTTTCAGGCTTATAAAGAAAATTTGCTGACGACGACTTGTTTCGAAAACTTAATTTTATTTTTTAGTACACGTTGCTCTCAATGGTATGTCAAAACTATTGGTGTCGGATGCTGCCCTTCTGTGCAGTATAGTGAAAAATGTGTCCTTAATTTGTCATGTGGATTTTAGAATTTAGTTTCTTTTCTTTCGATTTTGAATACAATTTTTGTATTATAAATAATAACACGTAACTAGATTCAGAAAACTATTTGTTTTGTTATTTTCGTTGTAGTTGTCAGCACTGCCAGCATATTATTTTTATTTTTAGGTTGACTGACAGCTTCATATAGCAGAATAGCAGAACCAAAGATCATCAATTCGAAACGAAAACAAGTACTTTAGGAAAGCAGTAAAAATCATATAGCCCGTTCAAGTTGGTATTAATTTATTACAGTACAAGAACATATTGATGACTGCTGTTCAAGACTGTTTTTTTGATTTTTTGTAATAAATAAAATGTTGAACATTCCACAGTTATATCCCTCACTCCGTCCGACTTTTTTACGCGCTCTCACAAATTTGATGAAAAAATTAATATTTTGCGTAACTGAGCAATCGGAAAAGTGTAAAACAAAAAAAAAGAAAACAAAGAGGAATAGCAAATTACATAAAACAAAAAATTAAATTTAATAAAATCAAATTTTTAAAAAAAAATAAAAATTAATTATTATTATTAATAACTAACAGCGGAGACAAAGGTTCACAGTGGACTGTAGAGCCAAATAAAAAGAAGAAGGACTAACAGTGTGTTTTGACTTTTACACTTCAATCAATTATATTATTATTTTGATAAGCATATAAGGGCTATTCACTCTGTGTTGAAAGTTCGTGAAATACAAAAATGCTATACCGAAATTGCAACAGTGCGAGATTATTGCACAATTGCACAATCAAAATGAAACAGCTGTTTTTGCAGCATACCACATATCAAAACAGCTGTTTTTTTCTTTTTTGTTTCGTTGCAAGCAAGATTGCAAGCAATTGCAAGAAACTTTGTGTGTTTTTTTTTTGTTATTGTTAAGAGCAAACTTGCACAATCTGCGCATTTCGTGCACCTTGCAATGAGTTTGCAAGACAGAGTGAATACCTCTACAGTGTAGAGCACAATTAGCACAGGCTGTGTCATTGTTTATACAATTTACAACGCTTTGTGAAAGGTCTGTAGACAATTTAATCGAAGATAATTTGCACAACTGAGTTTTTTTTGTTTTGAAACTATAATTTGTTTCTTTTTTAGCCAGTAGACGTCATAAAATTATGCACTACTACACATAAACGTCTTGTACATTTTCATTAACGAAATTAACGCCTTAAGATACTCTAATTTAGATGCAGCTGTAAATAATGTTTATAAAAATAAACTAAAGTCTTAACAATTGAAAAATTGTACAAATTTATTGTAATTTCTATAAACTGTCATTACTAAACTTCTCCAATTCTCCAAGTTGTCATTCTCCAATGACAACTCTTTTCGATCCCTTTGGCACATGACTTCTTCAAAAACATCGAATAAGACTGTCAAGGATATCGATTTTAAGCCACTACTCAGCACCTACGCAATAGCAGTAGCTACAAATAGCAGCACCACGTTATTCTCTTTCGCTTGAAGTTTTAAGCATTTGTTTACTACATTCGCAAAGTTTCGCAAAGTTATCTGATTATAATCTAATATAATACACATGCAGTTCTACACCCTTCACTATTGTTGTAGCAAAAATACACATACCTATTGCACGTATTTATTAACCAGTCATTTTCTTGTTTGGACAAGAAACAGTAGAATTTTATATAACACTACTGAAAGCTATATACTTTAGGTATGTTTTAGTAAATGATCTGAAAAATAGCCAATTTTAAAAAAGAGACGAAAATATATACCTAAGCAAGGCCTGTACACAGGCTAATTTTGTAGTATAGGGACCCTATCCTGAAGTATTTCCGATGAAGTTCCAGAATAAAAATGGTGAGGGAGATTGTTTGTAGTCCATGCTAACCGGGCATACCACTATTGTGACGACATAGTGATGATGCGTTAGGCATTTGTAAACTCTTTCCGCAAAAAATTGTAGTATATCTGCATATTAATTATATTGTCAACAAATAATTATTTTGACATATTTAACTAGTGTCTATAACACCGGCACATACCAAGAGCAAAGACTAGTATTCTCTATTGGTCCTTTTGTTTTGCGCAAATAAAATTCTTAAAGTTCTGCATTAACTTGCATTGGAATTTCATTTATCCCAAATTAATAAAAAATAAAATAAATTCATTTAAATTAAATTAAAATGCATAATAAGCATATTTGTATGAAAAATACGAGGAGTACATAATATTCAGGTAAGTGGCAGCTGGCAAGCGAAAACAATTTGATGCTTTGCTGGGTGCATGGTCACACAGGAATCAATGGTAATGAGTCTACCGACAATATTGCGAGGTCAGGATGTGCCATTGAACTCTGTGAATTGGAGCCATATTACGGATTAAGTTGGTCTACAAGTAGGTCTCTGATTGATAAATGGTTTTCAGCCGAGAGAAATCGCTACTCAGCCGACATACCAGGTAAGCTTCAGGCTAAAGAGATGCTTCATCCCTACAGTAACGGTAAGGTATCCTTATTCAGCAAAACAGAGTTGAGGTTGCTAGTGGGATATTTAACGGGTCTCCATGGACTGACCACCTTAACAAAATGGGTCTGTACACAGAGACTCTGCTTAGAAGCAGACGAGACTTGCAGTAACATTTTCTGTGACTGCCCAGCCTTGATTTGAGCCAGGAGGAGGTCACTGGATCGAAAACTACTCTCCCCTTCTGATATTAGGAGGTTGACATTATGGTTTTCTTTCGAAATGCCGAATGTCTTTTGTTCGGTTCGGTTAAAATCAACCACGTCGCAGTGTTCCGTACCGTTGGAAGGTGGTACCCCGTTTATACATATTTCCTATAATATTCAGGTAGGTCTATAATAAGTATAAATACTGTATAAATTTGATCAATAAATTCAGATTCAACTTAGACATTAAGTCCACTTCTTGTTTACTGTAATATAAGTTACCTAGTTACAATCTACCTCATGGAGTTGCTCCAAATTTGTGTTTATTACTATACTTCCTTATATTTTTCTTCATTTGCGATCTTGCGGATAAAGATCCTGCGATCCTAGAATATTCCCAGAAATCATATTTACATGAAGTAATTTACTGCGGTGTTTGAAGCAGTAGTTGGCGGAAGAAGACGTAGAGGTAGACCGTGTCTCCGGTGGAGTGATCAAGTTGAGGGAGCACTAACTGGACTTGATATACGAGACTGGAGAAGGCGCGCACGCAGCAGAGGCGCCTGGGGAGACATGCTGCGTCAGGCCGAAACTCGGTAACGGGTTGTTATGGCCACATAAGTAAGTAAGTAAGTAAGTAATTTACTGCGGACAAAAATCCTGCGATCCTAGAATATTCCCAGAAATCATACTTACGTAAAGCAACTTTCTGCTGATAAGGATCCTGCTATACCAATGGACAGTTTCTACTAAATGTGTAACAGATGTATACAACAAGCTTAGAAATTTAAAAGAACTTGAAAAAGATTAAAAGATTGAATAAAAAGTGACAACGTGATCTTAATAACATTAAACGTTCGAAGACTAAGGGAAATGGCTGGTATAACTTACAGGCTACTGAAGTGACTGAAAAAGTTTAAAATGATCTGAAAGTATTACATATGCATTCAGTATTGGATCCCAAACGATTTTACAGGAAAAACGAATCAACGTAAATGAATTAAAGTAACTAAAAAACAAAAACAATGGGTTCCAGCAATCCAAAATAACAGCATTTGTAGTAACCGATCACTTTCGGTAATTGGTGCGCTGGCTTTGGGAATATTTCTACTATATAAAGTTAATAATTATATCAAAACCTTTAAAAATAGGAAAATAAATAGATCCATAATAACATCTGCCTAATAAAATATTTGTTAAATAAAAATTTGTTATTAAAAAATTATCAAATTAATAAATTTTAAAATATTAAAATTTGCGATGTAGGTATAGTAGAACTAACATGTCTATATACTTAATAGAGTATACCAAATATGTAGCAATTACAGCAACAGCTTTAGCCATTATAACTGTGTACGAATTTATACTGTGAAAACTTAATCAATAAATTTAGATTCAACATAGACATTGAGTCCACTTCTTGTTTACTATAAGTTGCCTAGTTGCAATCTAGTTTAGATTATAATCGCCTCGCTGTACTAGGTTTATAAGTTCCTTTAGGCAGACTAAGGTCATGATGCCGAAACCATGACCAGGGAAACGATAAAAGTGCTTAGCTATCCACGGAGCACCCTAAGCTGGCTGACCTCATTGATTAATGAACATAGAAACTTCAAGTATCACCTCAAAAAGATAACTCTAGCTAAGGAAGACACTTGCAGACTGCGAATAGAAGAAAAGGAGACAGCGGTGCATATATTCTGCCAATGTCCGACAGTGACAAGTAGGAGGAAGACTGTCTTGAGACACCATTGGGTTGGCGATGACTTGGCAGGCAACCTCAAGCTAAATGAGCTGCTTGCATTAACCAATACCAATGTCTAGCACTCGCAAGTAGGAGAAAGACTATCTTGGGACACCATTGGGTTGGGTATGGCTTTGCAGGCAACCTCAAGCTAAATGAGCTGCTTGCATTAACAAGCGGTTTAGTTATGCGAACGGAAGCCACTTTGGCTTTAACTCAGTAACGACATCCGAAAATTTAAAGACGAAAAAACACCCAACCCGTTTTGTGGTCTACTTCGGCTAATCCCTCACTACGGTATGGTCGCTTAATGAGTGGTGCGCTGTCCCAACATCCCACAATATATACGTTTCGTCGTTTCGTGGTCTACTTCGGCTAATCCCTCACTATAGTGTGACCGTTTAATGGACGGTGCGCTGTCTCAACATCCCACAATATGTAGGTTTATGTTTATTACTGTACTTTCATAAATTTTCTTCTACATATGCCAAACCATATTTAAATAAATATTTAGATACAACAACATTCCTCAAAGCATCGGGATTGTCAATAAACCAAACGAATTTGCGATTGCAATTACATAAAGAAAAAAAAAATTGATTATGGAAATGTTTATTTATTAATTTATTGTTACATCAGCAATTCAGTTTATTTTAATTTCTCAAACGAATATCTTTTTATTTTGTCCTTTACATATTAAAGATTTTGAGATTCATTATTTTACTATATTTTTTTAATTATATACGAGTATTCCCAATTCTTTACTTATTTGCCGTTTCATATCCATTAAGGTATTTCTCTTTTTCATATCAATATATATTTGTAACTTATGGTATATAAGTATATTTATTTTACTTGATTATATTAATAAAACATTAAACATCCAATGTAAGATAATAAGAAATTAAGTTAAAATTACATACATATTTGTTTTATAAACACTTTGATTATTATAAATAAATTTATGCGTATCTGCACGGAGCAAAAACGTATTGAGAACATGTGATTTAGATTTATTATATGCTTTACTTACTATAAATGTATGAGTTATTTAATACTCTAATATCTGCTCATGCGTGTACTTCTAATGGAGTTCTATTATATGAATTTGGACAAAATATTACAATTAATGCTTATATAAGTTGATGAATGCTCTAAATATGGGGATTATATATGTAGATCTACTCTGGGTTACAAATGCCTGGACTGTGCTTCGTATGCATTCTGTGTGGCATGAGCGTCGAGACTAGATCCTGTCGCTCCTTTGTAAACTACATAAGCATTTAACGTGCCAAATATTCAATATAATAAAACCATTTTGTAGCTGCCATATGTTTTCTTGATCAAATACTTATTTCTTGCATTTGAAATTTAAAATGAAAATTAGTGAATACAACACATACCATATATAATAATAAGTTTGTTTTGTTCAATTACATAAGTTATATATCTTTTATATATGTTATCTAAGTGTCTAGGTCTATAATATATATGTGCTTACATTTAAACATATAGATGGTTATACATTATATGATTATATGGAATGCTTCTTAAATTCAGTGGTTAAGTTTACGAAACATATAAACATTTATTAAAATTTCAAATTACACTCAATACTATATATGCAATATAACTTTAAATATGGTTATTATATTTTATATTTTATATATTATAATATAGAGTTCTTTACATTTTCTGTTCTCTTTGATTCCTATCCACTTTAGTGGTTACACATCAATTTTTCATATTACGAATATTTTTTATTTTATTTGATTTTAGCTTTAATGTTTAGTGTGTAAAATTTCTCTAAAATAAAATATATTTCAAATATTTTGATTTAGTTTGTAAATTAGTATTTTAAGTTCTATTAAACAGAAATCCGTTCATTTTTAATATATATGTATATATATATATATTTGCATTTATATGGAATAATATAGATTTGTTATACAATTTATTAACTTCATTTTGCAATTCACTTTGTGTGTTCGTTTCTAATATTTATAAACAATAGGCTTTTCATTTGTACATAACTTCTTTCAGATCTTTAAAGCCCGATTTCGCGCATCGCACTATACAAGCATGGATTTTTAAGACATTCTTTTGGACCCAACTGAGGCACCGAAGATCCTCGCAATATCATCAAAACAGAACGAGCTGCAGCTTCGCAATCATTATTTGCGCCGCAAATGCTCTCAGCTTCCGCTAAATACTGATAATCGCAAGCCACTTGGGAGGTACCCTATAAAAATTATATATATTTTGTATAATATCGAATTTATATACATTTTAATTTTTATATTCTAAACTGTAAAATTAAAATTTCGTGCATATTTTTTTATATTTAAACGTAATTTATATAGTAAAAACTCTCTTCGTTTCATATTCATCGAGCATTGATGAAAGGACATTGATCTCAAGCGGGCCGTACAAATATTATCCGAGTGCCATATGAAGCATGTGGGCTGTGCTTTGGATAGCCCTGATTTAAAAGATTGCTTATATTATAGAATCAGTATTAATATTCATTATTTATCATGTATGGTATAAAAGCTATGCGCTTCTTTTACTAATAATTTTGAATTTTTACTAATTATTCACTAAATAATTTTTTTAATAAGCATACTAAATGACGAAAGAAAAGTTAGGTAGAAATCTAAAAATTGGAACAGTTTCACTTTATATTGAAGTACGTTGACAATATGAAAAGAGACTCAAAAAGTAGTTTTACCATTCAAGAAGCAGACCTACCTAATAGTAAATAAAGTCTGTCCATGCTAAAATTATAAATTGAAATGAGATAAATCTATGCAAAGCTAACAATAAATATTACCAGCAACTGAACATCAAAATACGAAACATAAATAATTGGAAATAAAGGAACGCAAAAAGAATGCTTTTGCAGGTCTTCGCAGAAATCACTTGATATCTAACACGATTATTATATAGTTATCTCTATAAACTATGAGTTCATTCCGAATTTCTAAAAAATGCTCTTGATGTGTTCTATTCCGAGATAGTTCAAATGTGTACAGATTATCTAAGAAAAGACTCATCAAGTAATTATCGTGGAATGTCATCAATCAACCGTATTGCAAAAATTATATTTGATTTGCTACTAAACAAGTACTCGCAATCATATTTTCAAATTAAATGTTTTTTCTACTCCTCTCAGTTTATTATACTTTATAGGGAAATGTAAATTCCAATTCTCTAATTTGCATATATTCTACTCAAACGTATTTTAAGTGTTCTATATTGTCCACCTTAATTACATTACATTACGTCCATTACTACATTACCTTAACTTCCATTACGAAAATCTCAATCTCAATCTTTCTTGCAAATGAAAGTAATATATTTTTATAAATTTTTTAAAAGAGAAAAAGGTATTATATCTAATAACGTCCTCGTTATCAAGACCCATGTGTCTGCAAAACATTGGTTACATTTTTTATTCTAACGTTTATCATCAAGCTATTTGATATAAAACCTCATAGTTTCAGTACCTAGCTCAGAAGATAGACACTTTTTTCAAATACTTATACTCGTAATTAATTATTTTTCATAATTTTGAAAAGTCAAAAAATTTTACTTACGCATAAATAACATATTTGGTGGACGCCACATATGGGTAGAAGCTCTTGATTAATATCTCCACTTAATAAATCAACCCCACGACACCGTTCAGCCATCGACTCGATTAATGGACACTGATTTGAGCCAAAAATATAATTTTTATTTCCTAAATAAGCATCGTTTAATGACTCGTAACGTGCTCCACCCATTCCTACATCAAATCCATTAATTCCATTTGGTAATTCAGGATAACGTAAGTAACCATTGCGCTTTTTCTTTTTCCTCATTTCTTCCATATCTCCATCCATATCATCAACAACATTTCTTCCATGAGCTTTATTCCCATTAATCATCACAATAGAGTTAAGCTCCTTGATTTTTTCATCACTTAACGAACCACTGCATTTATTTAAAATAAAAGACTTCATCATGTACACTTATTTTGGAAAGTAAATACTTACTGTGGGTTCTCTATTTCGGGAGCTTTCTCCTTTTTTATAGATAAGCGTTTTTCGTTATCGATTTGGTTTTCAATGTCTTCATTTCTTTTTTCTGGATCTATGACATTTCGCAACAAGTGATTTTCATTATCAACAGATTGACGCAATTTTTCTAAAGCTCTACGCATTTTTTCTAGACTATATGCAGTAGCTAGACGTGAAAGTACGTGATCTTTAAGCCGACGAATTTCTTCCGGATTAGCTATTCCTGGAATAGTTAAACATTTTCATTTGCATTCAAATATAGAAATATTAAGTTATTTACCTTCATGTGCACCGGTGTATTTAATAGTCTCATCAATAATAAAGTCTTCAATTGATTGTAGTTTTCTATCCATGTTGTCTAATTTATCAATATCGAGGTCTCGTTTCTTTTTTTCTTCCGCATTGAGTTCATCATCGTTTATTCTTTTTCAAACAATAAATAAATTAATATAATATATTTTTATAAGTACTTTATTAGAAAATTATAAACATATTATTTAAAGAAAAATGTAGAAGGAAACTTAAGTTATTGATAAAATATTATTATCATTAAAAAACAATGTGTTTTTTTTTGTAATAAAAGAGCAATACGTGATCTATTTTTTGTTTTTTCAAACAATAAATAAAAATTATGTTTATTGAAAAACTTACTCCAATTTATTTTCCCTCTTTACAGCTTTCTTTTTTCTATCAAGTCCAAAATACTTTGACCATTGTATTGACTTCTTTTTACGTAAGTTGGTTAAATCATCTGGAAGGATCTGTCGCTGTTGCAAAACTTCACCTACAGTTCTTTTCTTCTTCATAGCTGTGAGATCTCTTTTCTTTTTACGTTCTTCTTCCTCTTCTTCTTCGAAATCTTCATGTTCTTCTTCCTCTTCCTCCTCCTCATGTTCATCATCATGTTCTTCCGAATCTTCGGGTTCTTCATGACTATCTGGTGAATGGCTACGTTTTTTGTGCTTATGGTCAGTATGAGTGTGACCATGATAACCAGCATGACCATGTTGATGGCTATGTTGTGAGCTAACTGCTGTTGCCTGTGGTACAACTCTAGCACTTTCTTCAGTCAAATTATTTTTCCTCATTGGTGTTTCTAAATGCATATCATTTGGAGCAGAAGTGTTGGGTATATTTGTAGTGGACACTTTATTTTCCTGATTAATGGAGCGCTTCTTCTTTTCATCATCCGATGTACCAAATAACTCACTTAATTCTTGTGCAACTTTTTCGTCCGTTTTACCAAATTGTGCTTCTTCATTAGGAAGTGAACGTTTAGTAGAGCGCTTAGCGACTGGAAAACGTTTTTTTTGCTCCGAGTATGGCAGCCAAGGAAGTACTGGATATGATCGTTTTTTCTGCATTAACATGTAGTATGGGGGAGTCCTAATTCGTTTCTTTTCCTCAAACAAATCGCCTTCAATATCATTTTCTTGTTGTTGGTATTTTTCCCAAAGGTGGCGTAAAGCTTCCTTATAGCGCTCCTCTCGTTCATGTTCTTGTGTCTCCTCAATTTCTCGTAAGAACTGTTCAGTAAGCTCTGCATGTTCTGGTCCATTAGATACTTGAGCATCACGCTCTCGAAATACTGATACGGGTCCTGAATCTGCGATATAACAATAATATTGTCACTTCTCTTCTTATATGCTTATTTTGTAAAATACTATTAATTTACTACTATTAATTTTGTATGTGTATATTCAATTAGATTGTAAACTAAGTTTAGTTGTTTTCACATTGTTTATTAAATCTATTCTTGAAAATTGAAATCCACTATACATTAAAATATACTACAATTTTCGTAAAGAACCTATTATTTTCATTTGTTTTCCAGATTATATAATATATACTTTATTAAAATAAATAACTTCTTAAAATAGCAATGATATGTACATATACATATATAGAGAATGACAAAATCTAATTTTTTCAAATTTTAATTCAGTGAATCCCATTCCCTGAACTTGGAATAATACACTATTAACTAAAAGTACCAGAGGAAAGTCCATTAAATATTTATTTAAAATAAACAAAATTATTCTTGATTTTATTTCAGTTGAAGGAAAACTGAATGAAAGCATAAATTATTATTTTTTTATGTGTGCAATAAATTAAGACCCAAAAGTGAAATGGATTTTCATAAAAAACCGATTTTCATCCACACATGTATTTCTTTTTTTTATTATGAAATTTTTTTTTGCATTTCCTATTATCACCAATCGCACTTAATGTGGAGCCGATGTTTCCGTCAACTTTTGTAAGAGTAATTCACTGCTTTTCCGAGTGAATTCACTTATCAAATTGGACATACATTTAAATATGTTCGTATGAAAGGATGCTTAGTTTCTTCCTCACTTGGCCCTTTAATCCTTTACATTAATTTGGATTAAAGTTCGTATTTGTGCTTTTTACACTTTCATTTCCATTCAGAAAATTTTGCTAACCTATTTCAGAGCGCGATTGCACTTACCATACTTATTGTCACGTTCTCTAAAGTATGACGAACGTTTGGTTTCTTCGGGATAGTTAGGAAAGTTATTATTATCCTCATCAAATTCGTAGCCACCAAATGGTCCTAAGGACAATCCACCATGATCGGCATCATAATTCTCACGTTCCAAATACTTGGCTAGCAGATTGTTTACTCTATGACGGTTACGGTTTTTGTTGTAGGTGTTTGCTGGGGAATCGATATCTGTAAGTGGGGAAAGTGGAGAGTGTATGTATGTGGTCGAAAGTGGATATTTAAAGGAAACATGCATTAATTTATTTACTTCATTCTTGTGCAATAATTTATCAGATTTTTAATAATTTTACAACGTTATAAGTTGGGTTATTGAGTCACTTTTAATTTAGGAAAATTTTATGATTCGGGAATAATTTTCTTTTATGATAAAATGAAAAGTGAACTAATAATTTTGTAAGCCAATATATAAAATGGGAACGTTGAAAAATGACTGCCATACCATGTACGATGTTGTCCAAATCTCCAAATCGAATAGTAAAGTGTCTTCACTATAATTGATTTATGAAGCCGATATATTTGTTTAGGACGTTTTTATAACGAGTCATCATCATAAATACATTTGTAGAATAGAGATAGAATCAATCTTAAATAATTAATCCTTTAAAATTACCCAAAATTAGTCAATCTAATAGCTCCCTCCCCCATACAATTTAATAATTCTTAATCTCTCAAAAAGGTTTCAGATACCCTAATTTGTATATCTAAGTCAAATATTCTAATATTATATTATTTTACGCGATATTATTTATTTGGGCATTATATAAAATAAACTAAATCAGAGATATATTCGCGGTTAACACACAGATATAATGCGGGTGATGCTCACGATGGTCCAATTTCATGCAATTTTTATAACAAAACAAATGGAAATGATATGACAGATTGCACTCAACAAATATATTTCTAGTACTACGTGAACATGTTAATCCGAACAATTATGTTTCAAGAGTTCATCGGGGTGCTGAATAATCGATTTACCGAGGGGTTTTTATTTTTACCAATACTGTAAATAAAACAGTCTAATTTATATGATATTGAACTTTAAGCAATATCATCAAATATATCACAAAGTTTTATTAAATTTGATACTGAATGTAGCAGTTTATACGACTACTAAAGGGGATGACAGGCATGTCTATCCATTAATTTGGCAAATGAACTTCCAAATATATGTATCCGAATGATTAAAGGAATATTTATTTTTTTTGTTCTGATTAGGGAGTTTAGAAAGAAGATTCATGCGAAGCCGGGATTATGCAATGTCCGAATTATATAAAGTAGTCTGGTATATATATTTTATAAAATATTTAAATTGTTATAACTAGAAATAATTTTGATATGAATAAATTTCAAGTTACTAGGCGATTTATAATATCACGTATTCATATTTTATTAGGCTTCAAAAAATGCTTTTGTCGCAGTAGCATAATATAGTTGAATCATTACCTAGGTTTGCCACTACTAGTTTATCTAACTAATATGACTGAATTTCAATGCAAAATATATCTATTTTTACTTAGAAAACTAAATTTCATGTAATAATTATATTAAATAAAGTAAGATTTTTAAAGATTTAAAATTTAAAAACATTAACAGAACTTTTTTTTATTGACAATCTTAATTAAAGAGAGAACTGCAAAGGAACTTTGCATTTTTTCTTTTTTCTTTATAGTATTTTAGACTTAAGGAAAAGTTTGATATTTAATCATTATAAGATTCCTTACTATATTGCTTTTATTTATAAAAATATTCTTGTTCAAATAAAGCAGTTTCAATCTGAAAAAAAATATAGGAAGAAGAGGTCACTTAAATGCAAAATATCACATTATTTTTAGTCTCATATCAATTTACATACAAATATAATAAATACAATAAATATATTTAAAAAATATTATGATATTATGAATAAAAATGTTTTGTTGATATGATATATATAGTGGCTCTCTTAATCCTCTGGAGAGCAAACAAAATATCATACTTTTTCTTATCAGATTCTTCTTATTCTTATAGAAGATTATTATTCTTCTTATCTCTAATATCTTATTAGAGATTTACTTTATGCAAAAACATTCCTATATCTTTCTGAGCCATTGAGCATAACAAGTTTGAAGAGCATATATTGCATTACTTAGAAATTCCTTTTTTTAAGGAATTTAAATAAACGTGACGGTAATTAACATTACCATTATTCTCCATCTAGGAGAATATTAGTACTCCCATACGTTGTTCTAAACCTAGACCAGTGTTTTACAACGTGAAGCCTCCAGTACACAGAGGGACAATTTGACTATTTAAAGGCATTTCCGTTTACACAAAGTTTTTCCTGTTTTTATTTAAGTTTTTATTTAGAACAGATTATAGTGGATAGTACAATGGGTCTTAGGCGGGGCACAATATGCAAAAGGCTAGAAAGCAATGACTTAGAGGTTTTACTACTTATAACACATCCACATTATTTTGACCAATACGGAAATATTTCTAAATGCAGTGGTAAGATTAAAATTGTGATGTTTTTACCTAGAGCGAAAATAGTAATTCGAAAAATAGTCGTTGTATTCGTATAAATGAAAAATATAATGATGAAAACAATATTTCATTGTTTTCGGAAACGTCAAAAGATTATTATAACAAATTTGAAAAATATTTTTGTTTGTTATATTTTTTCTAATTTCGTTGAAAAGTCAGTTTGAACTAAATATAGTGCCTTCAATACAGACTTCCAAGAAACCAAGTCTCTTAATAATAAAAAGATATTTCATACTCAAAAGAAAGGAATATCATATGAAATTAGATATCAATTACTTCTTATTATAAAAAGAAATAAACTGCAATAAAAAATGCTTTTACAAAAGAATAGTATTGAAATTTAACAATTAAAAATAAAAATATAATTAATTAATTCATTTATTCTACAGCTGGTTTATGATTTTGTTTTAATATAAACACAGCAAGTGAATTTTTTAATAAAACTTTCACAAATTAACAAAACTCCAGAAAAATATGTGAACTTACAAGTCAAGTACGGTTTTGGGTCAGTTGGTTAAGGACACGCTGATTCTGAGCTTCAAATTTGGCAGGGCACGAGTTCAATTCCTGGCACTTACAATCTCAAAAAAAAAATTATTTACAAATAATTAATTACAAGAATTATTTCTAAGACCACTGATGATGGGTATTTAGCAATACACGAAACAGCTGTATAGTCAGCCAAAAATTCAGTTAATTAAAATAATATAAAATGAGTTTTTGTTCTTGTAGTTCACTATTTTGCGAAACTTCTCTATTAAATACCACAGTTTCTGTTTAAGTAAAAAATAATCACTTCTGTCATATTGACATTAAAATAAAACTTTTTATTATAAAAAGATTATAGAGTTTTAAATAGTCTTGTTAAAGTTTCATATACACAGAGATATTATAAGTAATGAAAAGTGAATGTATATAACATAATGATTAAAATATACAGAGGTTATCAACGTTTTCGAAAATAGAAATAAAAACTTTTCGCTTCATTTTAAGCAACATTATAATAGAGAAAGAATTCAATTTACGTTTTCGGTTACATTACATAACATACCTTCATCCCAGTAATCCTGTTCAGAAGCACTGCCCATTGCGCTGCCGAAGAAATGTTGCTGTGTAGGCGGTGCGTTAAGGGGATATTTAGCAGCCTCGCGATGGTGTAACTCATCCACAGCTGCTTGCAAAGAGTATGGAGAACGTTGAGCCCATGAACCATTTGCCATCCATATTAGAAGCGACAGCCAACAAAATGTGCTCATCATTGTCGGCCTTATAATCGTATCTTCCTTTTAAACTGAAATTGTGCTTTTAAAAAATAATTACAATCACTTAAAATGCCGCTGGAAATAAAAACATCTTTTTTATTTATGACAAATTGTTAGAAGCACTTGTTACTGATTTGTACAGTCCAAGAATTATTATGTTGAAATATTTTTATGCGAATTTTGAGTACATCTCTTGAAACGAACCATTATTGATGGAAAGCCAATTCAATTATATGACATAAATTTATTATCCTAGTACAATATCATTCAAATTTTACAGTGTGAAATAAAAATTATTTGATCTTTTTATTTCTACTTATTAATATGTAATTTCAATTTGAAGTTAAAATTAATAATTAGTGAACATTCAAGTATTAAGAAATCAATAAAATCGATAAATTATTAAGAAACAAATCTTAATTATAGGCCACGGTACTTCAACTATGGCACATTGAGTTTCATGTTATTTTACATCATTTGTATGCTCCAAATATGCTCAAGGAACAAGCTGCTCTATGGCGTGAACCCAAAATGGAAGCATGTATGGGAATACGTGAATAAAGTTTATGACTTTTTCCAGAAAAAAAGATGCAGATGATTGCCTGTTGGTCTACATACGCACGTAGTTTACCAGCTAAGGAATTTGTTCTGTCAATAAAAAATGTTATGCAAATGAAGCTGTTATGAATTTCTTTAATAAATTCAAAAAATTCTTGCTCCTTTCCCATCCCAACAAATTAACGATGTAGATAGGTTTTTGATTGTTCGCGTGACATTCCCTTAATGAAAAAAACAGATTAGGACGTTAACACAGACATTCCTTAACACTTCGTTCTTTATTAAATTTTTTGGGAATGTACGATTGGAATTTCATTATTTGACGAATGAAGGTGAATTTAATTAAGTTTTTGCATCTCTCCGATATTTTAATTTTATTAATACAAAAATAATTTCATAAATAGTGTGCAAGAAGTGGGTGAACGATGTGGCCTTGTTAAAGATTATATATTTCTGTATGTAACGTGGGTTTTAAAGTAAGTCCACTGTATAGATGTTTGAAAGAAGTCCATATATTGACAATTACATATGTCTGTACGGTATACTCTTTAGTGATATATGATTAAAATTGTATGTTTACGTTTTTATATTCATGCGTTTTAATGATTGTTTATTTTTAAATTAAATTTGATATATTAATCGAAATATTTTGATAAAGGATTTACTAAATTTAAAACAAAACTATTATCTTTTGATATAGGGCCCCACCTACTTCTAGTCCTAGGACCAGCATAGGGCCGTACCTTTTTTGATACGCATTTTTAAACAAATAGATATATTAACTCCGTTCTATTCGTTTAAATTTCCTAAAATATTGACCACACATCTGTGTAGGATATACTTTAGCAACATATGTAATTGCCAATACATAGTTTCCCTATAAGTACTTATTTTTAGAAAGTACTCTTTACTTTGGAATGCTCCTTATGTAAATGTCAAGAATTTGAACTTAACATACAACGGACTACAGTTAACCTTGCATGTACGAATATTGCAGATATGTATGTAGCAAATGATTGTAATTTAGTGAGTAATCAAACGTATTGTTTAAATAATAATACAAATACTAACCAATAATTACCACCCATCATGGCTACTGTCATTAAAATATCTAACTTCAATTATCTATTTTAAGTGTTAAAATCGTTCATTTACCCTCATTTAAATAATTATATTAATCAATATTTTAAATAAGGATTTTCAATTTCCAACCCAACATTTGCGAACCTAATATTTCGTAGAAATTATGTAAACTTTGTTTTACCAACTGTCTGGATTCTTAAAGTGTAGGATACGTTCAGATAGAATCACAATTCCTGGTAGCTTACTTAGATTATTATAAATTTCAGGGATCTGATTTACGATTTTTAAAGGGATTTGACTGACACTGTTTATTTCAGTATATATTAATTATATCAGTACAATATATAATTGATTATATAATTGATGATTTTAGTCAATTTCCCATTTTATAGTAGCTTTATTTTTACTAGCAAATTTTTCTACTTTCCTTCTACAACAGTTAGGTATATATTATTTTTAAAAAATAATTTTGTATAAACTGCATATTTCTGAAGTTCGTATTAGAAAAATAAACCAAAATACTTTGAGAACAACTTTCACTATAACTGTCTATTAATTAAAAGCAGCAATTTCTTAATCAATAGATTTATTGTGTCACAAAAATAGTCCATGTGTAATTTAGACCCTAACAAGTATAACACCTAAATATTTAACATTTTGTCTCCACTGTTGTATATATTCAGAAAAAATATTCGATATCGAAATACTAGACAGACAATTGCTACAGGACTACAACAGTAAAGGATGCCACGCTGGTGAGGTGTTAGTCTTAATCTGCGAAATTGTATTGTATTTTATTTAAAGTGTGTGTAACTTTTTCCTCAACCATGCCAAACCATGTAATTTAATATCACAGAAAAAATTAATTCGTAACATTGTATGTAACATCTAGTTAATATATGGAGTTCAGAAATAATTAGGAAGCAAGGAAGTAAATCCACCTTTGTGGTGGTGTGTACTGGTGTTCTACCTTTTTTGTGTACCTAAATATAATTTTATTTAAAATGTTTTTTATGTAAGAGTATACAAAATTTATACACAAAAAAAAATTGTTATAATTAAGTTAATTAAAAAATATTTGTTTTAAATTTGTAAATATTATTTCAAAATATTTATTTAAATTAATTAAAAATAATATTTTACTTAATAAGTAACATTTTGTTTAATATTTCATAATTGGTTACTGGTCTTCGAATCCTTAATGCAAATAAACTCCGAAATGTAATTAATTCAATTGCCTCGAGTAATTTAATAAAAGCTCTACACAATGAAATGAAAAACCAGAAGGAAATCAATTATTTTCCGACGTTGAAAAGGGCAACAAAATTGAATTCCAAATGAATTGTATTTGATAATTCGAGGATACATTTGCAAATGGAAATCAAAGCTTCTTAATTGTGAAGCGGAAATAAATTTATTTCATTCAATTAAACCCTCGCAACCCAAAGTAATTAACAGGAATATTCGAACGGAGAACACAGGCAGCATCATTCTTCTTCCTCTAAAAAGCATTTCCAAAAATTATATTAAATAATAATATACTTTTTATACTGAACGCTGTCCTCAGAGTTTTCCTCTTCTAGGTTGCATGAGAATAATTTTTGGATATTTTACGATGCACAACATATACACAAAATCCTTTAAGGCGCATCACAGTTCGTTTACACCTACGCAATGCAAGTGCAGCCTTAATTGTTCGGTTCATTGCTAACGTCATCATAAATAAACTTGTTTTTGTAAAAATTCTATTTATAATGACCTTAACCAACCTTATATTTATTTTATCCGAAATTATAATTGAATGAAAATCCAAAAATTTTTAATAAATATATATAATAATCTATAAAATAATAAAATAATAAAATAAAAATATAATTATGAAGTATAAGTATAATTAAGTATCTTACAATTTCATAGGATTTTTATTGATTTAATGAACATAAA